GCGTTTTAAAATCTTGAGTAAGACACTAAACTCGGCATTGTTGTGTTGTACTCGGCATTGTTGTGTTGTACTCGGCATTGTTGTGTTGTACTCGGCATTGTTGTGTTGTACTCGGCATTGTTGTGTTGTACTCGGCATTGTTGTGTTGTACTCGGCATTGTTGTGTTGTACTCGGCATTGTTGTGTTGTACTCGGCATTGTTGTGTTGTACTCGGCATTGTTGTGTTGTACTCGGCATTGTTGTGTTGTACTCGGCATTGTTGTGTTGTACTCGGCATTGTTGTGTTGTACTCGGCATTGTTGTGTTGTACTCGGCATTGTTGTGTTGTACTCGGCATTGTCGTGTTCCACAACAATGCCGAGTTTGTTTATATTGTTGATGACGTAATTTATTGACGACAACGAGGAATCACAAATTTTTATAATATATAGATTCCACTGAAAAATGTAGTGTAGTTTATGCAATGAAACAGACAAATGGATAGACTTTACGTCCCCATTAATTACTAACTTTATACACACACTATGAATTTACTGCACTGACCATATGCTGCATCGCAAAATCATGCAAATTTTATAACATGGCCACTATCTTTTCAACCCACACACTTATTAATAACACCTGAAAATATAGGGCAAACAGGCATGTCAGCTGTTGCAGGAAGACAAATATAAAGTTTGTTCTCTTAAGAGGTCAGTGAAATAGGAAAGAATTTTTTCATTACAGCAAATTAATGGAATAAATAACTACGTTGTACTTCAGGGTTGTGATGCAGTGTACAATTGCATCTACCTAGAAATCTACACAGCATCAAAACCCATAACAAAAATGTCATTCTCACAACCATGAGAACCTCAAATGTCACATAATACAACAAAATTAATACACAGATGTATTATACTACACTTAAATTTGTTCTTTGCGAATATAAACAAGCTTAGTCAATTTACATATCCACATTTTATTTGATAAGTACAAAATGTACATACTTAACAATCAAATTCTGTATGGCAAGATAAAGCTGGGTATAAGCTAATTACCTATGAATATGATATCAGTTACAGAAGTGCCAAAGGAGAACCTGATTCAGCAGCCTCTCTCCTTATCTTTAAAACATACTAAACTGAAACTTAGGAGGTTCTTAAGGCCATAAACATATTACTGCATTCAATATCTTCTTGTGCAATCAGGTTCTGAACCCTGATGATTGGGACAGAGGTGGTTCCCAGAATGATGGTTGTTTCGTGTAACCAACTGACGTAGCTGAGTGCCCAAAAACATTTTACTAAGTTTAGTCGCCACAAAGCCTACAAATCATATATTACTGCATTACAACTTGGAAGACCATAATTGAAACTGTTGCATTATAATTCCGTAGTGTTTAACCAACACATGATAACTCCATAATTGGTCCTGAGATAAGTATGATTAATGACTGAATCTTAGGTGCTCTTTTGTTTGGTCTGTGATAAGTGCAACTCACAAAACTGCTACCAGGAGAATGGACTGTCTGATAATTACAGAAATGAAACAAGCACTGAATTTTAATGATGCTGCCCTGTAAACGTGTCATTTTGGAGCTACCATGTTTTGACCAAAACCTGCAGAATTACAATTAAATGCCTTGAGAATTTAAGACTTGACAATTAAAACATTTCACTTAAAGTCTGCTTCAATCAATTAACTGTATTTGACCATTGGAAGGGTGCACATTACGGGAACTGCTAATGGGAGACATTGTAACTATCATGGTTCCTGCAAACCAAAGGGTTGCTATGGGACTTCGGCTCACAATGTCAACGGTACATGGGAGAAAACATTTCTGAAGATCAAAAATTTGGTTGATCCTATAAAAGTTACAACTTCCCATTATAATATCATGTTATATCAAGGTTCCCAATTGTGACAACACGTTTACTGACATTAACATTTCCTTCTATTTGATGTAAACAAGCCACGACTTATACGTAGTGACAAACAACTGAAAAGAACAAAAAGATGAAGCCTTGTAACCAGGCATCATACATATATTTCTTCTTGCATAAATAGTGTCAAAATATCAGATTGAACACTTCGCGAGGTGTTACACCCCTTTGAGCTTTCACTACGTACCTTCTTCTGCTGTTTCTCCCATGCTGGGTCAAGTAGTCCCTCTCGTTCCCATTCTTCTTCGGGTTCCATGTAACCATCCCCATATTGATCTATATTATTCATAGCGTGATCGGTCATCGTTAATTCAGTTTACTGATTCTCGGTGATCGAAAAGTCCCTTCCACGGCAGAAAATCGAGGCAGGGCGTCACACCACCTCACGCACCGTACACAAACCCTCCTACAGGGTTCGCTACAACAATCCCCCCTCGGCTATCGTGCTCGATGAGGCTAAAATGGGGAACCCACGTGACCAAAACTTTTAATTTGAACGTTCAACAAGTAAATGATAATGCAAACCTTCTAATATAGGTTAAAATTGTTATATTAAATATATATACTTACAGTACTTAAAATTCCTACTTAAAAATACTCCGCTGTAGAACCTTGAAAAGGACATTGGTCATGCCTAGTAACCTGGCAAATACAACGAATTAACCATATTTCAACTCTTCCACCATTGGTCATATGGAATGTATGTAATCCGAGATCGAAGATGGCTGGTGCTACAAGTAGGTTAAGATAAAGATGTAATATTTTATGAATGAAAACTAGCAAATCCTCTATGCGTTTCATGAAAAATGTAGAGCAATAACGCCAATTCATTGTTTCAATTATCCATGACGTCTTTACATTGAAGAGATACCCTGGTTGTGTTGTCATCCAACTTTTTTGTGATGCTGGAGAATAAGATTTAATTAAGATTGAAATAATGAACTGCTGCAGATTTGTTTGCAGTCATGAGTTAGGAGTGAAAATAGTGCATTTTTTTATTACAGGTACATGGATT